CTCCCTGGATCCTTCCCTTCTCCAGGGGAACATTCCCAGCTCTCCCTGGATCCTTCCCTTCTCCAGGGGAACATTCCCAGCCTGGCTCCAAATTCCAGATGGAATAAATTCCACTAATATATCCAATAAATAAATATATATAATAAATCCCAATAATATATCCATTGATATTCCTTGCTCTGGAATTCAGTGAAGGGAGAAGATGCTGCTGTTAAAATTTCACCTCGGAGGACTCAGGGAATTTTGGGATGAAAGAAACCCCAACCCTTAATTCCAACACTTGAACATTTGGAAATAATTCCTGCACCAACCCTTTGACCCCAGAGTTTGGGAATTACAATTCCAGGTTCAGGGGCTGGGAATTGGCTGGAAAAATTTGGCTGCCAGCAGCAGCTCCAAAATTCCAATTTTGGGACAAAAACTCCAAACCTTAATTCTGCTGGATCCTTTTCCAGAGGAATTGGGAGAGTTGCTGTCCCTGGAGCAATTTTTTCCCTCTGGAATCAATGGGATCCGATCCATTCATGGACACAAACAGGCCTGGGAGGAGGAGCAGCCTCGCTAATGAGCTGCTCGTTAATGATCATTAATGGGCTCCTGTTAATGAGGGGGCCCAGCTGAGTATTGGGATTTTTAAAGTGAGTTCCCAGCTGAGTATTGGGATTTTTAAATTTGGTTCCCAGCTGAGTATTGGGATTTTTAGGAGGGGCTCTCAGCTGAATACTGGGATTTTAAAAGTGGGTTTCCAGCTGAATATTGGGATTTTTAGAGGGGATCCCAGCTGAATATTGAGATTTTTTTAGAGGGATTCTCCTCTGAATATTGGAATTTTTAAAGTGAGTTCCTAGCTGAATATTGGGATTTTTAAATTTGGTTCCCAGCTGAATATTGGGATTTTTAGAGGGATTCTCATCTGAATATTGGGGTTTTTAGGAGGGGTTTTCAGCTGAATATTGGGATTTTTCGAGTTGGTTCCCAGCTGAATATTGGGATTTTTAGGAGGGGTTTTCATGTGAACATTGGGATTTTTAGAGGGGATCCTGGCTGAATATTGGGATTTTTCGAGTTGGTTCCCTTCTGAACACTGAGATTTTTAGGAGGGGCTCCCAGATGAATATTGGGAGTTTTAAAGTCGTTCCCATCTGAATATTGAGATTTTTAGAGGGATTCCCAGTTGAATACTGGGATTTTTAGGAGAGGTTTTCATCTGAATATTGGGATTTTTAGGAGGGGTTTTCATCTGAATATTGGGATTTTTAGGAGGGGTTTTCATTGAATATTGGGATTTTTTGAGGGGATCCCACCTGAATATTGGGATTTTTAGGGAACATCCTTTCATTAGGAATTGCCAGCCCAGCACTGCAGGATCCAGGGACGGATCCCACCTGGAATAATAAATATTAAGGCAAACCAGGAGGCTGCAACTGCCCTGACCCTACAAAGGTTTCCCTTTTCAGCTCCAAATGAACTTCGGGTGCAGATTTCCCCTCACTGGAGCCGAGCTGCTTTAAAAATCAATGGGAATTTGGCCTGAGCATGGAATTGGAATTAACCCTCCCCAGCCCTGGTGTGGCTGAGCTGCCAAATTAATCCTTGCCCTCATCCCTTACCTGGGGATGGTTCCCAAAAACAGGAGGGAAGGAGAAGTAAAAAAAACATTACCTGGAGAGCTCCCAGGGTTATCCAGAGGCTCTGGAAGCTCCAGGAGTGTTTTTAATGAATTTCTCCAGGCTCGGGGATGGAGCCAAGCTCTGCAGAGGGGCTGTGGGAGCATCCCAGGCTCCTCCAGAAGGATCCGCAGCACTTTGGAGCTGTAAGGGTGAAATCCAGGCTTGGATTTCTGTTCCCAGCCTGAATTCCTGGAGGGAAGCGCAGGCAGCAGGAATCCCTGGGATCCAGGGGGAGTTGGGTTTATTCCCAGAAGATTTTTTCCTGGGATTTTCTGATTTTTATTCCTGGGATTTTCTGATTTTTTTTTTTCCCCTGGGATTTTTCTGATTTTTTTTTTTCCCCTGGGATTTTTCTGATTTTTTTTTTCCCCTGGGATTTTTCTGATTTTTTTTTTTTTTCCCTGGGATTTTTCAGATTTTTTTTCCCCCTGGGATTTTCTGATTTTTTTTTCCCGGGATTTTCTGATTTTTCCCGGGATTTCACACACTGAGGGATATGTGGCCTCAAGCTCTGCCCTGGAGCTGCTGGCACTGGGATTTAATCCATAAAAATGATGTCATGGCTGTGGAGACAGGAATTAGGAATTCAGGAAGCTTGAGGTGAGACCATTCCAGCCCTGACCCCAAGAAAGTCACTTTGGAGTTTTGTGTCGCTGTACTCCAGGAGAATTCCAAATATTCCATGGGGGACCTGCTCTGCTTGGGGCTGCAGGGAAATTTTGGGTGTTGTTCACACCAAAACAGCCCTAAAAAAACCCCAGAACTTGTTCCTCCCACGGATTCTTCCTGCAGCTTTCCAGGTGTTTTCCTAAAAATGATGGGGGCAGCTGGAAAATCTCTGTTCCCCATGGAGTTCCTGCTCCAAAAATCACCCCAAAAATGCGGGATTGAGGTGATCCCAGAGTCTGGGAGGTTTTTCCTCCCCATCCCTGGACAGGTTATAAATATCCCATTTTTAGGATCCAATTTGTGCCAAATCCCAAATCCCCACGGGGCAGAGGGAGACAATCCCAAATCCCATGGATGGACTGGATGTGTCCCAACATCACCCAAGGAAAAACCCTTCTCCCGACATTTCCCTGCCCAAAATGAGGGATATTTTTAGGGATTAGAGCCACAAACACTGGATTAGAGTGGGGGCACCAGGCGAGGAGGGATTTTGGATTGAAAATTGCACAATTTTAGGTCAGAACCGGGAGTTTGCCTTGGCTTGGAATTCCGGTGTTGGGAAAAGCTTTGGCTGCTGGCAAAGGTTAATTAAAATGTGTTCCACTCCGAGCATTCCCTGTAATTAAGAAAGGATTCCTGATGAATTAACTCCCAAAAAAGTGCCCAAGAATTCCAAGATTCGGGAATGCTCGTGTTCTCCACAACACCACAAAATATTGCAGTTAACCAGCTGGAAACGCTTTGGAACGACCGAAACCTCTTTATTATTGTGTTATCCCAAAATTCCTCTTTTCCTAACGTTCCCTTGGCACTAAAGGGTAAAAAAAAAAAAAGGGGGAATTCTGGATCAATTTCTCCAGGCGGGAACGTTTGTGCCCCGCGGTTCCCGATGCGGGGAGTGTTTGTTCCCGGGAGAACGGGCACATCTGTTCTTTGTCTTTCCCGAAATGAGGGATCGCTGCCGAGATTCCTGCCGGGCTCAGGGAATTGATTCCATGGGGATGCTCTGCTTTGGCTCAGCCTCTGGCAGCTCCAACTTTTTCCAATCCCTTCCAGGTTTCACCTTTTCCATCCTCAATTTAAACTCCTGATTATCTCCCCTAAGGGTGTCCATACAATTTCGGGAGCTCGCCCATCTCCACCCCCGGGATAAACCAGGAAGCTCCAAAAAGCTTCCAGCACTAAAAACATGGACAATCGATATTTCCCAGCGGGAATTTGGGTGTCAGGAGAGCGATTTTCCCGCAGGTTGTTGGAGCCTCTGCGTCCCCATCCCGCTACTGGGATTCCCGGGAAGCGCCTCTGGCTCTCCCACTCCTCCTGCAGCCGATAAATCCTGGGATTTATCCCCAGGAGACCCCGGGAATGGGAGAAGCAGCTCGGGAAGCTCGCGAGGGAAGATCCTCATGGAGGGAATGGAGGGAGAAACCCAAATCCCGTGGGAGCAGCGGCTTCTCCCTCCCTGGAATGTGCCCGCGCCAAGTCACCTGTTGGTCCGGCTTTTAGCTGGATATAAAAGCTGGATTTTGTGCTTTCCCAGAGCCACAATTCCCGCTGTATTCCAGCTGCTTTTCCTGGCCACAGCCTCGATCCAGGGGCAGGAACGCAATTCCCGCATCTCCCCACGCGCAGGGATGCGGGTCCCGCGCTCAGCCAGCCGCGGGGGCTGGAAAAACGCCGGAAAAACGCTGGAAAAGGGAAGTTTTCATCCAGCTGGAAGGGAAATCCCGCCTGGATGAGCCTTGGGGGGACAGGGAAAGCTTCATCCAGGGCGCTGCCCGCTCCCCTCCGCCGCATCCCGGGACTCGAGGGCGGGAGGGGAAAGGGGAAGGGGAAGGGAAGGGATGGAGGCGGACGGAATAAGGAGCCCAGACCTGTTGCCATCAGAGCACGCTTTACTTCGGCAGCCGCGGGCGGCCGGACGGGACCGGGCCGGGTCTGGATGTGCCGGGTTCGGCGGCTCCGGCCACCCGAGCATCTCCCGACCTCCGGCACGCCGGGATCCATCGGGCCGCTGTTTGTTGTTTTTTTTTTTCATGAAGAAAAGGTCGGAGCCGAGCCCGGCAGGGCTGAGGGCGGCCAGCCCCGGGCTGAGCGCTGCGGTCAGTACGGCCCCACCACCACCGCCTCCACCTCCTTGGACGGGCGGCGGTCCTTGACCAGAAAGTTGATCATGCCCTCGGACTTGATGAGGAGGTTGCAGCCGAGGAAGAAGATGCCGAACACCACGGTGAGGGCCAGCACGCACATGACGGCGATCTGCACCACCCGCATGATGTACAGGCTGCGCTCGTCCCCCGCCGCGCCGCTGCCGTCGGTCACCACGGAGGCGGCGGTGCAGCAGCGCAGCGCCCGCTCCAGCTCCAGCGCCGCTCCCCCGGCCCCCGCCAGCAGCCCCGCAGCCGCCGAGGAGCCGTTCATCCCTGCCGGCATTCCCAGAGAACCGTTCATCCCTGCTGGAACTCCCAGCGAGCCGTTCATCCCTGCTGGAATCCCCGGCGAGCCGTTCATCCCCGCCGGGAGCCCCGCCGAGGATCCGTTCATCCTTCCCGGCAGCTCCGCCGCCGCCGCCGCTTCATGCAGGCGGCCCGAGCCGGGCCGGGCCGAGCCGTGCCGAGCCCAGGTGAGCCCAGCTGGGCCGTGCCGAGCCCAGGTGAGCCCAGGTGAGCCCAGCCTGGCCGCTCGGCGCTGCCCCGAGCCCGCGGAGCCGCCGCGCTGCCCGCACGGCACCGCCCGCTCCGCTCCGCCCCGAGGGGCAGCGGGGAGGGACCGGGTGGGGTGGGAGGGAGGG